GACAAGTTCCTGGCATGACACAGAATGAAATTAAGTCCCCTTTGAAAGATTTTGTATACCTTTAGACCTCTTAATTTATATATTTGTAATGTACATAAATTGCCCAGTATGCTCTGGTTTTAAGACCATCGTCTAGTTCAGAACCCCTGTTCCTCCCAGCATGACCGTTACTTTGATGGCGCCCGACGTGCGCGAGGGTCGTGGCTCTGCAGGGCCGTGGGACGGGGGCAGCCCGGGAAGGTCTGGCAGCAGGTCTCTTCTTCGGGGCGGGGCTTGTCTCTGCAGGGACTGAGCTGCGCTCGGCTGGCTGTGCGAGGGCTCGCTGAAAGCCCAGAGGGGCCCAGCTGCGCACCAGCAACTAGAGAGGCCAGCAGCATGGTGTTTTATGGGACCAAATGTACGTTTCCTGTCAAGTGAATAAATAATAAGACACCCGACCAGGAGTGCTGGCTCTGAACCCGTGGACTGCGCCTGACAGAATCCGTGTGCATCCCACAAGGCTGAGGGACGTGTCCCGCGGCTCTGAGGAGTCTAACAGAGACACAGTTCCTGAATGCGCTCCGGGACGCTGCCCGGGGTCCCCCGGCGCCTGAGGGCTCAGAGCCTGTGCGCTCGCCAGGGCAGCGCGGTGAGCCGTCCCGAGCTTGGTGTAGACCGAGTCCTCTGGATACGGTCCCCAGGCCAGCGGCCTCGACATCACCTGGGAGCTTGTTAGAAATGCAAATTCTCAGGCCGACTGAATCAAAAACTCTGGGAAAGCGGCCTGGAATCTGGATTTTAACAAGTCCTCCAGGTGGTTCTGATGCATGCCAGAATTTGAGAGCCACTGGTATGGACAGTGATCGTGAGACTCGGAGGTCAGGTGGACTCCCACGCCCCCCGCTTACCAGTGCCGTGTCCTCAGGAGAGTTGTGCGCCCCGCTCAGCCTCGCTGCGTCCCCGGGAAGCACTGTCTCCACGTCAGTGTCCAAGATGCGGCTGGCTCTCCATCAGTGTTGGCTGCTTTTCGGTGGAGCTGTACCCTCCCCGGCTAGCCATCCTTTTCATTTGCCTTCTCAGTGTCCCTGTGAAGTATTATTATACTGGGTTTGCTCATGGGAGGATAATACCTCAAGCCATTATGAAAACAGAAAAAGTAAATGTATTTTTTACTACACAGCTCTATGCACATTAGCAGGTGATTACTCTCTGGTTAGTAAGGTGGTGTGTCACCAAAGGCCCAGAAGAATTCCTATTCACTGGTTAATGCCCCCAGGAATTTCTTGGATGTGCTGTTTCCACCACTACAGCTATAGGCGGCCCAAAGTTAGAGTCTGGCCCCCAGGCCCCCAGGCCTCCTGACCTGGGCAATGCCACGGCCCACTCCGGGTCCCACCCTGGCCCTCCATCCTGC